AATTTGATGGCTAAAACTAAAGTGGGTACATTTTGTTTAGACGACAAATCTTTTCAGAGCCTGGTAATGTTTCTATGTAACAAAAACAAACATTTTTTTCCACCGTCTCTTGTGTCTGACTGAAATTAATAATACAAATGGGTTAACACTATTGTAACGCTTAATTTGAAAATCCAAAATGCTGCACATTTTTGTGTGCTCTTGTTGTACATGTATCCACTAAACTAAACACAGTGGACAAGCGCTCATATGACCTTAGCAGTTGCGAGCGCCGTAAAACCTTATACTATACTATACTAAACTAAACACAAAAGCGCGAGTTGATTAAATTGGGCAGGGTAAAAAACAAAACAACCCCCCCCTCCCACCAAAACCAGAACAAACAGCAATGCTGTGATTGAGTATTTTCTATTATATAAAAAAAAAATCCTAATTGCCTCATTTCTGTGCTGGGTCGCGTCACGCTTTTCTCAAGGCCGTGAGTACACGTAGCGAGTACACGTAGCAGTAATGGAGTATGCTGTCCAGCACGTGCGTCCTTGGTGGTAGCATGACCTAAAAAAAATAATAATGATAATCATTATAATAAAAATACTAACGGCATTAACGGCAAAAATAATTAGATTTTTAGAAATATATAATGAGATAATAGTAATTTACGAGGATACCCGATATTGAAATGTCCACATGATATTGTTTGGATTTTTTGTTTGTTTTTATTTCTTGTTTTGGCCTCTGTTGGGAGGGACAGTGCAATGGCTATTAGTTCCAGCATATTTGAAGTTGTGAAAGTAAATTGTAGGTGTATTATTTATTTATATTGCCTGCAAGTACTGTGGCATTCGACAGTACTCTCGTTTTAAATGGGTTGTTTGCGGGTGCTCTAATGTGGTTTGTTCCTTAATTCCTATCCTACTTCTACCGTCCGTATCTCTTTCCTTTCTTTATAGTTATGCTACTCTCAAGTAGTAAGACCTCTAATCTTCGGCTCGTATATTATTATGTTCTATTAGTAATGTGAGTGTTGTAAAACTCTTTTAAAAAACACCCTACCCCCCCTACAAAAAAGGAGAAAAAACAAAAACAAAACCTCGACAAAAAAACCCCCCAACAACCAACAAACAAACAACGCATCTCATTTGTTCTCCGCTGCTGTCTCTATCTCCCTGTTTTTTTTTCTTTGGGCACCAAACACACACACACACACATACACACACACACACACACACACACACACACACACACACACACACACACACACACACACACACACACAGAGACATACACACAAACGCACACACAAACGCACTCTTTCACCGGGAGCTATCCAAAATGATGGCCGGGGTTGACTAATAGACGTGCTATGTATAGTGGACGCAGAACGCGTGGGTGGACTTTCCAGTTTGGTGCCATGCCGTGCACTGGTCACTGGTCGCAAGTCATAGTGGGAAGTCATGGGAACTCTCCGCGATGATTACACTGCTGTGGCAGTGGGTTGTAGCTACTTTTCAGTGCAGAATGGACATGAGACATAATATAATATCATGAATTAGGAGAATTCTTTTTTGGAGCCGTGACTTCAAAGTTCCATTTGGACCCTTAACTTCAAAGTTTCATTTGGACCAGTGAAAGTGGGGTTGCTTAATTTTGGACCTGCTGTATTCGCAGATTTCTTCCTTTATTTTTGGCGCGTATTATGACCTTATTGTGTTGCAAGTGCCGTGAAACTTCTACCAAATGAAACCTTTAATTTTCAAATCGATTTTCCGAGTTGCCTCTTCAGTTCGCCAAAATGCAGTCTCTCGGAACAGTTTGTTGTCAGATAAATGAGCGATTCTGAAGGTCTGCCGTGTAATAATTTGTCTCCCCGTGCCCACTTTGGGAAAGTGAAAGTAAGACTTCCAGCTATTTTGATATCATTACACAGCTCAGTGAAGATTTCTTTTCTTTGCCCCCCATTTGAAGCACCGTTGAAAAATTACATAGTGCAGTGGGTGCAGGCGATAGCAGCTATCCCCTACTAGGTAAGTGCAGTGCAGTACCGTTCTGAGCAGTGCAGGGCCGTTCAAAGCAGTGCCGTATGTAATTACAGCTATCCTCTACTTGTGTTAGGGAAGTGCAGTGCAGTGGGTGCATGTAATGGCAACTATCCACTTATAAAGAAATGCACTGCAGTGCAGTTGGTGCAGGTAATGGCAACTATCCTCTAATAGAAAAGGGCAGTGCAGTGCAGGTAATGGCAACTATCCTTTATGTGTGATAGGGAAGTGCAGTGCAGTGGATGCAGTTAATGACAATTATTCACTAATTGGGAGGTGCAGTGCAGTGCAGTAGGTAATGGCAACTATCCTGTACATGTGATAGGGAAGTGCAGTGAAGTGGGTACAGGTTATGGCAATTGTTCAATGATAGGGAAGTGCAGTGCAGTGCAGTGCAGTGGGTGCAGATAATGGCAACTGTCAGGACTGTGACGTCGGCTAAAGAAGTGCACGCGCTCACCATCCACCAAGATTGACAGCCAGCTCTCGGAACTTTCCCCGCCGTGGTGATGTTCAGTGGGTCATGGTAGTGTGAATGAAATACTTTCTGGTTTGTACAGCAAAGTGGGCATGTACAGTGAGCCCACCGAGAGTGCCAGACGGTATGACTGTCGGTTCGCACCCCGCCCGGGCCCGGTGAGAGGAGAGTGCAGCAAAGACTATGTTGTCGATAGCTTCTGTGTGGGATGGCCTCAATACTCGCTGGCGCACTGTAGCTTCTTTGCAGGTTTGGCGCTGTCTGTCTGAGCAGTTGTACAAGCCAAAAGCGATCTGTCCTAGGACACACATATTTCTAGCATTTGAAGAATCTTAATTTTTCTGTTACTCTTACTTCAGGATATTGTTTTTGTTGTTATCGATTCAGCAACTGCTGGGCTCTCGCCCTTCTGTCCAATGCCATGTAGTGATAACTGCAGCAAACCTATGCTCCATAGAGTGCGTTGTCAATGTAAGGTCTCGGAGGGAGAAGGGTAGTACTTCAAGATACATATGTATAAACAATCAGAAAGAACGCCAGCTCAGTGAGATATGAACAAATGAATACATGTTGAATTGTTCTGAGAAGTCCATAGTAGGTCTTTTATTTCATTCATTTTGATGTGTAGTGTGTTTATGTCTTTGACTAGTAATGTTGTTTGCGTACAGTTGAACCTGCTCTAATGACCACCTTTCCAAGACAATCATGGACTGGCTGGTTTCCACTTTCCACCTTGCATTTTTTCGTTATAATATGTGTTGTGATGTGGTGGAATCAGGCACTCGTAAATTTTTGGGCATATAGAGTCATTGGTATTATTTCAAAGCTTGTTAATCTGTCTTGAACATGGCGAAAAAAATAACAATCTATCTTGAATAGAATTTTAGATATTTGTGATTGAAGGAGGTGGGGGTTGCCTGGTGTGAGAAGCAAAACTAGTGAAAAAAAGGCTGTCAGAGTTTGGTGACTTCCGAAGCTTGAGTGTACTTGGAAATAGGAAATTTACGTTTTGCATCTTTAATCAATGTTTTCCAGTAACATCCACTCAGAAATTGTTTTTAAAAGGACATCAAAAGTTTGGAGCCAAAAAAAGGAAAAAAAAAATTCCAAACGCCCAGGAAAATGCCAATTTCTTTGATTTCAATTTTTTGACGTGCGCCTTGTTTCACCACGCTGTTTCACATATATGACACTGTCCAAGAGGATCACCTTTCTTTTATGACCATTTTTCTCCTTGACAATGAGAAGTCGTCTTGGACCAATTTGACTGAATATTTGAACAACACTTACTGTTTGCTATGTATGATTGCAAGGGTGATCAAGTACTTGGGAGACAACTTATTTTGGGGTAAGAAGGATGTCAAATTGCAAGAGTTAAGTGTGACTCGTGTGATACTTATGATAGTTTTTGTATGTTTGTTGTTCGTTGTATGTCGAACCTTATACGATATGACTAGATAATTAACGCACTCCCCCCCATCTTCTCTTTTTTTATCATCTTTTCCAGTGTCTGGTGGCAGCATGTTCGAGCCCCACAGTGGTCTCTACAGCAGCCATCACACATCCAACCTGCTGTCTGCTGAGACAAGGATGTCCCCTCCTCTCCCACCGCGCGTATACAAGCCGTGTGTGGTGTGCAATGACAAGAGCTCGGGCTATCACTATGGCGTCAGCTCCTGTGAAGGATGTAAAGTGAGTTGAAAATAATAATAATTGATAGTATTTGTATAGCGTAAATCCTTGCTCCACAGCATGCTCTATGCACTTCACAATCTATACTATATCCCTGCAGACCTGAGGAGAGCGTTCTGAAACAACCTCAACTTCCTGGGAAGCATACTGTGCAAGTGGCCATTTATAGTTCTGGACTTGGTTGGGTTTTCTTTTTTTTCTTTAGCTTAGTACTCTCTGGGTCATTGTGAGATATGTTCTCAGTTGTCTGGAGTAGTATTTTCTGTCTTCGGCAAAGCTGTGTTCAATGGGTGGTCAGCAGGTGCTCTGGTGTGGTTTTCCCCTTTTCCCTATTGCGACACCTGTTGTCCTTATCTCTCCTCCTTTTTGGTGTTTGTTACTCTCGTGTAACTCCTGTAATCTTTGGCACTTATATAACTTAATTGTGTTGCAAGTGCGTAAAACGCTTACTAAAACTTAAACAAAAAATCAGTGGGTGGTTGGTGGGCGCTCTGGTGTGATTTGCTCTTTATATTTGTTATACTAATGTAACAACTCTAATGTTCGGCACTTATATGACCTAATTGTGTTGCAAGTGCTGTAAAATGCATACTAAAACAAAAACAAAGCTGTGCTCCTACATTCGGCCAGTAGCGCATTGTTTCTTCGCAATAGAGTAGAGACAGTAGGTCTATACCAGAGTGGTGTTACAACTGGCTGCAGTGCTGTAATGTGTCTTCTGGACAGGTAGTCCTTAGAGTAGATTTGACTGTGGGGGCTCTCGTGGTCTAGAGGTTAAGGTGTTGGCCTCTCATTCAATAGGTCCTGGTTTCGAATCCTAAAATTTTCTCATTTCACATCCTTTCCTGTTCTCTAACAATGTTCTGTAGTCTGCTTTCATCTCCACTTTTTGCCCCCACCCCTCACCTCCTTTGCCTCCTCTTCTGGGCTCCTGACTCTTTCTGCAGCCTTTCTACTGCTTCTCCTTGGCGTCCTTCTTACTGCTGTCTTTCAGCTACACCCCTGATCTTATGGTATGTAAGATCTACACCTAGCCTTCTCGGACTTCAGCGAAAAATCTCGGAGGCCCCTTGTGCATGCCATGCACGTTAAAGATCCCTTGGTGGTCCAAATTCAATGAGAGTAGGCTTAGCCGCCACCTGAGCAAAATTCAAATATCCTACCAACTGAAAAATGTTTAGTGTGTCCTGCACGCTCATATGACCTTATGCAGTTGCAAGTGCCGTAAAACACTTACAAAAGAAAAATTTTGAAAAAAGATTTGACTGGACGTCTTATTCTTCCTCTAGGGCTTCTTTCGACGGAGTGTTCAGAAAAACATGCAGTATACCTGTCACAAGGACAAGAACTGCGTGATCAACAAAGTAACCAGAAACCGGTGCCAGTATTGTCGGCTGCAGAAATGCATCATCATGGGCATGTCCAAGGAAGGTAAGCATCTGCTTTAAGAACTTTGATATTTTATAAGGGATTCGGTTTGTTGTTTTGTTTTTTATGGAAAGTTTAGCAATCATACTTCTTTGAATACATTTTAAAAAATTGAACCTCTGGCTAGGCTGTGATCTGAATATTCTTTTGTCTTCGTGAGTTAAAGGGGCATGCAGATGGAACAGAGTAAAGTAAACAGGGATCATTTAGGAAAAGTTGGTGTTTTTATTCTTCACAGGTTTGAGTCTGTGTTGTCTCTCACTGTTTTCTCCTGTATGAAATTTCTCTCAGTGCTTTTGTCTTGTATAAATCATAATGAAAAGTATTTTAAACTGCTGCTCTTATTTTTAAGTTTTTTATGGATTAAAATGATCTTTTAAAAGTTCAAATAATAGTTGAAAGGGATGTCTCTTCCTCTTCATTTCCCCTCCTCCCAACACCTCCCGAGGATGTTGGTAAGGGAAAATTTTTAACTACTTAAAGTCTGTATTCTATCCTGTCTCACTGATCTTGCTTGTTTCCCTCTGTAGCTGTGCGCAATGACAGGCACAAAAAGCGCAAACAAAAACCAGAGAGCACATCAGGCTTGTCGGAAGAGCTGACTGAAGATGATCAAATGCTCATTCAGGTAGACAGTTTTGTTAGATAGTTATATTTACCAGATATCATCAGATAAGTTCTCTCAGGTATCATCAGATCAGTTGTATATATATCATATATCATTTTCTAGAACATGCACCTTTTTGTTTGAAAAAATCAAGGTTTTAAAGTCGCCCTGCGCCTTATCTACGAGATATTGGACTTGAAAAAAATACCAGTTGGAGTTGACCAAGGGAACAAACTCTGTGGGTCAGACAATCTGTAAAGTATGTTTTAAGTCGGGTTTGTAAATAAGCTTAAAAAGAATTTGGAAGTGTTCTTTATATTAATGAAAATCCACTTACAAAGCTGATGGTGCTTGCTGTGAAATTCTTGTTGCACCTTATCCGATGAAAATATGTGAGGCACGGCAGTGAAATCGGGCACTTGTCAAAACAATGAAAGTGAAGGAACCAGCATTTTTCTGCTGGTGTGGCAATTTTTATCGATTTTTTTTGGGCCCAACTTTTTTTAATGTCCTTTAAAAAATTAATTTCTGTGTGTATTTTACTGAAAAGTGTTGATTAACCTCGTCCATAAGCCCTGGGGTCATTTTGTACCCCCGGGGTTTTATTCTTCACATTTTAGAATACTAAATATAAATTATGGGTCAAAATGCCCCCCAATGACCCCCCAGATTTTTTTTACTTGGTCAAGCATTTTGATTGGTCTATCTCTGTCAGAGACGTCTCTGGATTGATACTGCAGCCGAAAACAGGTCTCTTTTTATAGAGAGTTCGTTCATTAAATGAAGAACTATCAAAATAGATTGACTTGTTTTGATTTAATGACCCATTTTTTGATATTTAAAAAAAAGAGTCAGTGCCAAAAAAAGGGGCCCGGCGTAGTGGGTTTACCCCCCACGGAGATAAAGAGTTCATAATATAAAAGTTTGATAATTTTTTTTATTACTTATGTTTATTGATAATTTTAATGCTTACTAATGTTTATTAAAATTCTTATCTTTATTGATGTTTATTGAGAATTTTAATTCTTACTAATGTTTATTAAAATTATTATCTTTATTGATGTTTATTGATAATTGTAATGGTTACTGATGTTTATGGATAATTGTAATTGTTACTGATGTTTATGGATAATTGTAATTGTTACTGATGTTTATGGATAATTGTAATGGTTACTTATGTTTATTGATAATTTTAATGTTTACTAATGTTTATTAAAATTCCTCTCAGGAGGTCCTGGATGCTCATAGGGACACGACTCCCAACAGTCAAAATGGTGCTACATTGCCATTCAGCAGCGCGACGGCAGACTTGGTTGGGACGACGACAACAGCAGCTACAACTACACCTTCTAAAGCTACCTCAACCTCTGTGAGTCCGAAGTTCCTGACACATTAAGCTAACCTCCCTTCCCTCCAGGGCAGTGCAACCGACTGAAGAGTTTTTAGGCCATTCCCAAAGGAGGGATATGAACATGTTCTTATGCACAGTAGAACTGTAAATGGGCTGATTTAACAAAATCAGGCTCATACTGTGCCGAAACAACATAGGGGGAACTGCTGCTTTTTCTTTCCTGATCCTTACTATCATCATTTCCTCTACTTCTTTCGTATGTTTGTCACTGTCTTGTGGACTGTTATTTCTGGGGTGCCTTGATAGTGGAGGCAGACTTTGTGCTGTTGAGGCGAGAGAGAGGTGAGCAGAGGTAAGCCTGATTCCTCGTTTGGACTTCTCTATTGACGTCCACTCCTTAGGGCTCATACCAATCCTGCATTTTTGGCCGTTCCGAGTTACTAAAACCATGAGATCAGAATCCGAATGTTTTATCTGTTTTATCAAAATTGTAAGATTATTCGGAGTCGTTATCAAGATATTCTCAGAATTGCTTTAGAAAAAGCTTGATCGTATTGTGAAACTCAAAATTTTAAACTCAAAATTTCTCTAACTAGGTATTGATTGAACTAAGCATATAGAATTTTGTTATTAATTCTAGGGTGGCAATACATTTACAGCAGTTCCCTCCAGGTATTTGTCTTTTTAAAACCAATTGGTGCCAAAGAGAGAAGGACCGTGAGCTGCCTGGATCGAGACGCAACCAAAAATATATGTGATTGATCTCTTTATATCTTTTTATAAAAATGTCATTTTGATAAATGCTCAGGTATTGGCACCTGAGGAAAGGCGTCACAGGAATTTTATCATTAAACAAAAATAATGTGAAGGATGTTTTATTGATTTGTAGTGTTGCAAAAATAGTGAAGTGCATTTATATACCATTAAATATGCCTGTTGGGTGTCGCTAAGTCTTCAACAATGAATATTTTTTTTTTTTCGTTTTTAGGAATCCAGATCTGATGATGAAAGTTCTGGTTCTTCCGGTGTCTTTTTATGGGAAAAAATCACAGAGCTTTCATCTGCCGGCATTGTGTTGATTGTGGACTTTGCTAAGAAAATTCCCGGTTTCTTGTCATTATCTACATCTGATCAGATTACTCTTCTTAAGGCAGCTTGCTTAGAAATTATGGTAGGTCATTTTTCTCTTGTGCTGTACATTGTGCTTATTTGTGTTCATATGTGTGTTCATGTGTAATTGTGTGTGTGTGTGTGTGTGTGTGAATGTGTGTGTAGGTGTGTGTATGTTTGTGTGTGTAGGTGGGAGGGTATGTGTGTGTAGGTGTGTATGTGTGCGTGTGTGTGTGTATGTGTGTGTGTGTGTGTGTGTGTGTGTGTGTGTGTGTGTGTGTGTGTGTCTGTATGTGCTCAGGTGCATATGTGAAGTCTGGTTTTCACCTCGCTAGTGTTAGGAAATGGAACCGCTCAGAAACTTGGCAGTCCATTTATCTTTGACAGTTGTAATTTTCTTTCAAACAGATTTTGTTTCATTGTCTTTTACCCAATTTTTTTTTTTCAAGGCTCAGAACAAGAAACTGTTTTGTAATATGGCATTGGTGATGTTTCTTTCACAAAAGTATTGTAACAAAATATAGAAAATGAAGAAAAAGAACAAGGAATAATGAGGGGAGAACCAATGTACATTTTGGTTTTAAGAAAAAAAAAGACTAGAAGAAAGTGATTTGATTCTATTATTTTAGAATATTAATAATCATGGGGACCACAAAATTGTTAATTTGAATTTCTGTATGAAGTGAGTTCTAGGATTGCATTTTCTGCATTGATGATGGTATAAAAACATTTGGGATTTTTTTTTTTCATTTCTACAAGGTCCTATTCAGGACAGGAAGAGGGCAGAAGGGGAGGAGGGTATAACAGACTCACTGTATCCACACAGAAGATTTGACCACTCTAATGGTCAAGTTGTGTACTTATACTTCTGTGTTTGAGATTTTGACCTATGTATAGTGTCACAATTGTTTCACCCCTCATTTTTTTTCTTCTTTACTATTTAAGTTAAATACTGTACTCCACCTTTAAGATAACTTATGTATTTGTGGTAGGGTGTTTGTTTTTGCTTAAAAATTACCCCCAAAAAATCAAGACACCTTCTACTAAAGGTATAATGTTGATTAGTTTGGAAAGATTCATCTCTGGTTTCCGTCCCTATCCCCAGATTTTACGGATTAGCATCAGGTATGAGATGGATACGGACACTATGCAGTTTCCCAGTGGTTTAGCCTTGACTCGAGAGCAGCTGCAGAAAGGTGGCTTTGGGCCGCTGACCTCCACTATCTTCTCCTTCGCAGCGTCCCTCAAGCGCATGGATTGTGATGAGACTGAATATGCCATGCTTTCTTCTATATGCTTAATTAGTGGTGGTAAGTTGGGCAGTTCAGTATGATCGAGTGCTCTTTTAGTTATGTGGTTTGTTGTAATCTTTTTTACATGTTGTATATCATTATTAAAATTTAAGATATACTAGATGTCAGTATATTATTTCTAAGTAGAATTTTTTCCAATGAAAATGGCATTGCAGTGTGCAATTTTTGATTTTGCTTTTCATGCCTTTGAATTTTAACAAGGTATTTTTTTTTTCATCAGCACCATTTATTAGCTTAGAAATTAAGAAATTTTGCTTTATACAATTCTTAAGTCTTGTACCTTTGGTGGTTTATTTCTTCTTCTTCTTGTTTTGTTTTAAAATATCTACTGTAGTCATTCAGATTAGATGGCAACGAGCTTGAGACTCCCAGTAAATAGTGTTTAAAAAAAATTTTAATGACTGTTTTTAACTATTAATGTTTTACTGCGAATTTTTTTACTTAACAATCCTGACATGCAAAGTCTAAACAAGACGAGCTGTGAACCAATGTAAAAATACCTAACTTGTATTCTGCAAACTCTGTAGTTGCGAGGGCTGTAAAGCTTACAAAAACAAAACATAAAATAAACAACACCCCCCCCCCAAAAAAAAAATTTCATGAGTAACATTTGTGAGGCATTCTGACAAAATTAGTTACCTCTCGTAATCCACAAATGGAGATACTGGCCAAAATTCGACACTAGGGTCAAATTTGTAGATTTTCTATTGATGCTATATTCTTTAACTATAACCCGTCATTTGTTATTCTATACTTATGAATTGTAAAAACTCACCTATAAGCATGATGTGTCTATTTCCATAAAGCTTGAATTCAAGGAGTAACTCATTTGTGTCACGACGTGGAGGAATCAGGCTCTCGTCAAAATAATAAAATCGAAGAAAACAGCAGTTTTCTCCCTGCTTAACAATTTTTATCAAATTTTTGTTTTTGGTCTCAACACCTTTTATGTCCATTTACGAACACATTCCTTTTAGGATTTTACCGAAAACGTTGATTAAACGCACAAAAAATATAAATTTACAGTTTCCATGGACTCTCCAGCTTTGGAATTTACCAAGCTTTGGCGGCCATTTTCTCACTAATTTTACCTTTTAAACCAGGCGACCCCCACCTCCTTCAATCCAAAATATCTCCACTTCTATTGAAGATGGAAGGGTAATTTTTTCATTGAAAGCAAGACAAATGAACAAGCTTTATGATGATACCAGTAACTCAATATGCCCAAAAATTGACGAGAGCCTGATTCCACCACACTGCCTCACATTTTGTCAGCACACTTCACATGTTTGTTTGTTTTCACCCCACAGACCGCTCAGGCCTCCAGGACACGGAAAAAATCGAGCAGATGCAGGAGCCACTTTTAGAAGCTCTGAAACACTATATCCGCTCTCGGCGACCAGACCAACGGCACATCTTTGCCAAGATGCTCATGACACTCACCGACCTGCGCAGCATTAGTGTCAAAGGTCAGTACAGATCGTCTTATTTAGCTGTTTAGCGTTTTTGTGTCTCTGTGAGTTCCTGGAGTGGAATCCATTTGAAATAAACTTCTTCAAAGGAAAGTTTAGGTTTTAGTTTGAGGTTTAGGGCATTTGCAATACAATTAAGTCATGCGAATGCCTAAGATTAGAGGTGTTATTAGAAAGTAATGTACATAAAAAGAAGAAGAAGAGATGAGAACAATTGACTAACCACCTTCAAATAAAATTTGGACAGAGGTTCTGAAACTTAGTACCATGCAACCCCTCTTCCAGGATTCTTAATATCTGTTATTAATGATTAACAGAGGTGAAGGAACATTCTTGAAGTGACCACAACCCCAACAAATCCTTATCTCCGGCAAGCTGCTTCCGGTTGCTCGCAGTCAAAATGGCTGTGCAGGTGAGCTGCTGACAGCGGCTCGGGCACATTCTTTTATGACAACTTCGATATCAAATTACTTTTTGCCGAAAACAGGTTTCTTTTATCAGGATTTCATTCATAAGATGAATAACTATTAAAATAGGTTCACTTGTTTTTATTTTACACTTTTCACCCGTGCAGCACACAGTGCGCAACATTTGGGTATCCCCATGGACCAGGATACAGGTGCGTTACACGCTATATCACACCGGCGCCGATCGGTGTCCCTTTAGGAAAAGGGATGGCTTCTTACTGTCGCTGATCGGCGTCCCGTGGGGGCAAAGTGTTGATGACCCATTTCGTAACGATTTTGTCATTTTTAGATTTAGTACCAAAACGGGCCCCGGCGTAGTGGGTTTACTCTCCTCGGAGGTAAAGAGTTAACAGAGGTAAAGGAACTGTCTTGAAGTGACCACAACCACAATAAATCCTCATCCCCGGCAAGCAGCTTCCAATGGCTTGCAGTCAGAACTGCTGTGCAGATGAACTGGTGGCAGCGGCCCGGCTCATTCCTTTACGACAACTTAGACGTCTTATTAGTTTTTGGTTATTGCAGAAAACAGGTCTTTGTCATCATGAGTTCTTTCACTTGATGAACTGTCAAATTAGGTTCCTGTGTTTTGATTTGATGACGTATATGTCACTTTTAGATTTCGTATCAAGAGAGGGCAACAGCGTTGTGGGTTTACTCCCTCCGGAGATAAAGAGTTAAAATCCATTGACCTCTGTTTAGGGTCATATCTCTCAGTTTGGGAACTACAGGAAGGGATCAGGCGCTTGTGAATTTTTGAGCATGTAGGGTTATTGGTATTTTCTGAAAGCTTATTTATTTGCCTTGCTTTCTGCGAAAAAAAAATTCCCATCTATCTTGAATAGAAGTCAAGTTTTTTTTAGATTGAAGGGGGTGAGGTCGTTTGATCTCAATGGTGACATTTATGAAAAAATGACCACCAAAATTTGGTAACTCCAAAAGAGAAAGAGTCCTTGAAAACTGAAAAATGACATAATTTGTGCCTTTAGTCTACGTTTTACAGTAAATTCACTTCAGAAATGTGTTTTTATATGGACTTAAAAGGGATTGAGTCAAAAAACAAAATATCTATGAAAAATGCCAAACTGGCGGAAAAGTGCCTGTTTTTCCAGTTTCAATATTTTGACGAACACCTGATTTCATCACGCTGCCTCACATTTGCATTCCCTTACTCTGAATCACTGGTGGTAACATCTGTGTACTTTTGAACTAGTGTTAAGCATTCCCGCAGCTAGTTACATAGTGTGGGCAGACCGAGCGCAGTTCCAGCCACTGATGTTCAATCAGTGTGCTCGCCCACACATCTGAGGTTGACACTCGACCAGATTTGGTCCTATCAGATGCAGTGGTTCTGATAACAACAATAAATGTTGGCAGAAGTTTGCTGTGAGAAGGCTATTGTTTCTTACACTCTGTCAGTGGGCTATTTCAGGCTTCAATTGTTGGGTTACTTTAGGCTCAAAGCCTTTTAATACGCCAGGCTCAAATCATGAAGTTATTTTCAGCTCTTCTTACAAAGAACTAGTAGAAACCAGATTTGCTACTCATTCCTATCTCCTTACTGTTGCTTCCACATAGTGAGGAACATTTGGGAGAGTTTGTTGTAAATGGATTCCATTGTAGACAGGGAAAAAAAGAAACATTTTTGACTGATATTTTTACTATCTTGATAATTCTTTCTCTTATGTTATTCTAATGTATGAATTCCTGTTTCTTCATCTTATTAGTTTGAGAGTTTAAAGCTTATTGGTCTTTTAAAAACTTTTTCTTTCTTTTCTTTTTGAATGTGTTGATACACAGGTAATGTGTATAATCCCTGAGAGACTTTGTGATAATCTATAACGCAATCATTGAGAAAACTTTCAGGGTGTTATGTGCCTCCTTCTATTCAGCTCTTTCCTATTAGACCATTTCCGAACCTTTTTCATCGCCCTTGGGAAGTGTATCCTCTTGCTCGTTTGTCTTCATCCTAAAAATGTTCCTGTTCTGGAAGTTGAAAACTCTTTGTCTGCCGAGTAGATCTGTAATTGGATTTTTTTCAGTTTTATACTTCAACGTGTTTTCATATGATTTTCACCTTCTTAATACACTTTTAAGCTCTACTTTATACGCTTTCTCTCTCTGTGTCTGTCTCTGTCGCTCTCTTTCTCTGTCTGTCTGTCTGTCTGTCTGTCTGTCTGTCTGTCTGTCTGTCTGTCTGTCTGTCTGTCTGTCTGTCTGTCTGTCTGTCTGTCTGTCTGTCTGTCTGTCTGTCTGTCTCTCCATCTGTCTCTCTGTCTGTCTGTCTCTTTGTCTGTCTGTCTCCCTCTCTCTCTTTTTCTCTCTCTCTCTCTCACACACATACACACACACACACACACACACACACACACACACACACACACACACACACACAGGAACACACTCACACACACACACACACACACACACACACACACACACACACTCTCACACCCATACACACACACACATATTCACACTCATATACTCAAGAACACACTTACATACACATACAGATGCACATACACACAAAGAGATACACACACACACTCACACATTAATATACACATTAGCATACAGGCACAAACTCTCCCCCTCTGACTCATTGTTACAAGTTCAAACACACTCACTCGGACAACTCTGACATATACCAGTCATAATGCTGCTCTACATTTGTAGTTATAATACGAACTATATCTTATCGGCAATCTGTACTTTCTTACTTATGTCTATATTTGCTCACCACTTTTGATATTGTGCTTGGGGCTTTAGTGCGATTGATTCTTATTACACTTCTATCTTGGAAAGAAAGGTTATCGTAGGCTGGCCTTAGGAACTTGTCCTAATCTTTAATATTCTATTTTGTATTTTGGACATGTTCATGATGTCTAGCTTTTTCATGACTTTTGTTGTGTTAAAAATACAGGTTTGAAAGACAATCCAGTTGAAATCAGTTTGAAATCTCTGCTCTTTGGCAAAACCCCTAGATCTATATCTCAGAAAATAAAATCCAAAAGTTGTCAGAAGTTTGCTTTAGAACACTGTCAGGGGTAATGTATGTTTCTGGAAGGTCTGATCAGATGGTCTGAATCTGGCTTTATTTTTTTCAATGTTGGTCACATTGGCAAACTGGGACAGGCCTTATCTCTTTAGCCTAAAGAGACAAGATCACTGCTCTCCCAATATTTCATGAGAATATTCTGGGCATTGACTCATCCATCGTCAGAGACTCGTACCTGTCTCTTGTTATGCTTTGGAAGACAGAATGTTTGAATGGTTGAAATTTTTTTAATGTTGTAGTGAGATTAAGTGCAGGGAGCAGAACAAAATGGCAGTGCTTCTGAATTACCTTGACACTGTCAGGGTTAATGTGTCCTGGAATGAAGGTCTTACTTGTTGCTTGGCACACAATCTTGCTCTCGTATTTGACCTATCAACCCCATAGACTGCGTAATGTCCTGGTCTGCATCTATGTAGAATGGAATGTTCTTTTTTTTCCTTTATGCAATCCCACATTCTTTTTAATTCATATACATACCCAGGGATGACCAAGCAGAAAAATCTACATCTGTCATTCATCTGCGAACTCAATGAATAATTATATCAGGAGTCTAAAATTACAGTTCTTTGTTTGCTTAATCTGCATATGGCACAATGAGAACTTTCTCTTGACTAGACACCTGTCACTGTGTTTATTACTGTTATTGCTTATTCTGTCTGTTTGTGCTCCCTGTTTTTACAAAGCTGTTTTAAAACTTGTCTGCTGTAAATGACATTGACAAAATTTATGCATCGCACACTGACAAAAATTTAGCTCATGTAAAAAAAATTGTTTTTGTTTGTCCAACTACATTTGACACAAAATGGATAGGATGTTGTAGTCTAAGAGCTTACAGTCAATACTTACACACAGTACTGACTTGGGAGTAAAAGATAGTGGACCTGACCGACCAACATAATTGGCATGGGGTCAGAATTTTTTTACAGAACACGAACACCCTGTATTGCTGAACTATTGACAATGATTTTGGTAGATATATTGAATAATAAGTGTAATAACCATTACAATTATATTTCGGCTTTTTGGATTTTCATATAAGGGTAGGCTTAAGGGGATGGATTGATTAAATCATAAAAATCTTCTAAATTGAGATGAACTGTAATTAAAGGAATTTTGGCACTACGTCTGTATGGTTTTGGACTAAAAGCTTGTGTGTTAACTGTTCTGACTGCAGCTGACTGCAAAACTGGAATATTTAGGGCATCTGGAAACTGGATGGTTGAGAGGGTTGAGGATGGGGGGGGGGGGGGGGGGGGGGGGGGGGGGGGGGGGGGTTGGGAGGGGAAGGTAGGGGCGAAACTGGCGGTTGATTCTTTCCCTTTACTCTTCTACTGTAGTGTGAGTCTGTCTTGCCTTTTCTTTGATTTAAAAAGCTATTGTCTACATACATGTCTTTCTCTAATCCGAGATCAAATGTCCATGTATCAAATACGGATAACTGATGAACTGAGGAACTATGTAGAAAGATATGT